GCCCCATGTGGAATAGCCCCAAATACGCATAGTATTTGCGACGAGGCCCGAATTGACTCTTTCAGAAAAAATGCCCAGCGGAAGTTACTATCTTGCCCTCTGATGGGACTGAGCTGGTTAATGTGCCCCTCCACCTTTACAAGTTTACTCTCCCTCTCTTTCTCTCTCTTCCACCTAGCACCTGTCATCAAGAACTCTTTCATCTTCTAATCTTCTGTACGAATCTTCAAACGTTTCTAGGGTTTTCGCCGGAGAAAAATGTCGTCGTCTACGGGAAAATCCATAGTTACGACTACGAGTCGGGCACCGCAGCCGAGTTGGAAAGAAAAGGCGCTTCATCTGCGGTGGCCCAGCACGGAGCGAAAGCTACGCGAATGGCTACGAAAACCCTAATCGAATGCAAAAGGAGAAAGCATTACAATGGCGAGCATCCAGAAAAGGACGGACCACAATTGGCTGGTCGTTAAACCAACGAACCCCCCTCAAATAAACAGTAAGGTAGTGACGCCAACAGACATGCAGATGTAACCAATATGTTAGCAGCTGTAATCTGCGAAAGAGCAAGCCAGATTAAGGCCAATATGTAGTCAGGCTTTGTCCAAGAGCAAATTTATACCAACGTATAGATCTAGTTTAAGTCCAATGTTAGTTTCTAATATGAGTCCAATGTTAGTTCTATAAATTACGTGTTAGCTTATTTTGTTCCCGTTAGTGCTACGTCTAATATGTTTCAGTATGTCTTATTGAACGTACAAATCGGAAAAATTTTTTGCCGGAAAAAAAATTTGACTCTAACAGGCTCAGCAGAAACACTAAGGTTCAACGGCCATATATCGGGGCTTATTCTATATGAAGCCCTTGCCCGAAATCCGTCAGTGGCATATGGGATGCATACTGCGGTTCTATATTTTCGCACTACTTTTGTTTGGGGCTCCTGCGGTGATCGGCCTTGAGTGCTGTCTGTGCTTTTTCGATAGAGTATAACCACCTTTTGATATACCTGATTTCAAAAAAGTGGGGGGTATGAAAAATGTTAGTTTGATTGCGAATTGGTCGTCCACACCATACAATTTCCCAATTTATCGGGAGGAATAAGAACATATAGGGGACTCAAGAGCCCCAGAAGTTATGGCTGGAATTACTTCGCTAGCCGGAGGAAAAAAATCAGAAACCACCAACGTAAAATCTTTTGAAGCGGCTACTTTGAACGGCTGTGAATCTTACAAAAAGCGGGATATCGAGGATTTTGCTTGCTACAATTTCGGATAATTCCCAGTCCAATGCTCTATGATATGGAGTCCTTAGCAGGGGAAAGTATTCCATCTTCCTCTTTTGTGTTTTGGGGCAAAGTACAAGGGGGCTAGTCACACGAAGTTCCCACTTTTGGGGCCTGGACACATTTTTCCCAAAATCAAAAGCAAGAAGATGAATACCAAAGAAAAAGAGTAAAAAAAACTCACATTTTCAAAGGGTTGCGCTCACATTAGAAAGTCTATTTTCTTTTTAGTAGCATCAAACAGAGGTTTGTATTTCAAATAGCTAGTAATCAGAACTTAAACATGACTGCAATGCTAAATGGTTATCGAATCAAAGTAAATCTAAAAAAATTAAAAACTAAAGCCAATGGAGATAGGAGATCTATGATTACCTTATCAAGATCATAGTTCCCAAACATGATCACCCACGCGTTCTTTCGTATGGATATGCCCGGATTGGGCTTGTGCAGTTGTACACCATTGTCCATCATTGCCCCTCGATGACTCTTCAAATCAACAACAAAAATTAAAAATTAGAAGAAAACCCAAATAACTGAAAGTGAGATCACGAAAAATAATTAGAAGCAAAATTATGACATCCATCAGATAAAAACTTTTCAACTAAAAATTCATATCCAAAACTCGTAGTCTAACAAAACCCATATAATGAAATTAAAAAAAAATTGCTATAGGTAGCGCCTCTCAAATGACAAGTTGATTCGAGTAGGGAATATCTCACTGCCAGATTTGCTTGATGGACTTTGGAGCTTCCGAAGGCTGATGATAGCATATTGGCGAGAGAAGCTAAACCTTGAATTGACTTAGGGGCTGTTTGGTTGCACACTTTTTAAGAAAACTTTTCTCAAAATATCTGATAATGGTAAATTTGTAATTAAAAGTTTTCTAGAGATTTCTGTAAATTGTGTTTGGTTCAACAAAAAATTTACAGAAATATTTTCTATAAAATATCAAAACCTACCAAATTTTACAAAAAACAATTTCCTCTCAAAATGAGATAAAATCACCAGAAATCTGACACATACCATATTTAATTAAAAATCTACCAAATCTTGTTATTTTCTATAAAGTTATGAGCTATTTTCTTATTTTGAACCAAACAAGCAAAGTACAAAAAACAAGAAAATTGGTACTTTTTGATTTCTCAAAACTTTTCCTATAATTTTTTTAAGAAATACAAGGAAATCATATTATAGGTGAAAAACATTTCCTATAATTTCTAGAAATTGAACCAAACACTCCCTTAGATGAAAAATGTGTTTGGAAGATAAATTTGACATTAAGTAATAAAGAAAAAAAATATTCCTAAAAAATAAACAAGGATATAATGTAGGCCATCAAATTAACAATTTTAACTATGGAAAGTCTGAGAGACAGGTGCCTAGTAATTAAATGTTTGAGTGAGAGATATTATGGATCATATAAAGTTTTTCTTGAACTCCCTCTTTGAAAGGGAGAAGAATGATTTTCAATTAAAATTCATCTCCAAAACTCCTAGTCTAACAAAACCCATATAGTGAAAATTAAAAAAAAAACTTCTTGCACCAACACTTCATCACGATTGCGAAGATGTTGTTTTGTTGAAACTTCCACTAACTACTTATCCTTATTGATTGTCACGGTTTCCTTAAAACCTAGAGCAGATTCATGGCCGTGAATTTTTCCCTTTTTCCCATGTAAGTTCCGTGGAGATATAGAAAGAAAAATTTCGAAAACATCTCTTTCTTTCTCGTCTAATTGAATCCATCGAAGCGGTTGGTTTCCTTCTTGAAGAAGTGAACCATTGGTTTCATTCTCTATAAGAGATATTCTATTTAGTATTGCAGCTATGAATTCTCTATGCCTAGTGATTGTGTTCTCCCCTGAAGGATATTTCTCATGACTTAAACTAACTTTCCTCTCAAAATCCTCTAACTGCAATCAAAACCAATCACCATAACTGAAATTAATCACTGAAACTAAAACATAACCATAATATTCTAAATATATAGAAGAAATTCTCCTTTATCACCTGCCATTTTGCAGTCCAATAATAGTATGGAGCTCTTTTCGCATTTCGTCCAAAATTTCAGGATAAAATCCATCATTTCTTTCTCTAAACCACATCCTATACGTTGATTCCATTGCGAACAAACAACAAATATTTAAGGGGGAAAAAATCAAAATCTAAAAGTATCAGGATAACAACTCTCAAAAGCAAAACAATCAAACACCTAACAGGCATCCAATCAAATCCCAAAATCTAAATTTTACAACAACCCACATCTCATAATCGCAGAAATTACACAGGAACAAAGGCCCGGTAACATTCAATCAAAGAGACACCCTAAACCACCCACAAAAATCGAAATTTCAAAACGACCCAAACCGTAAAACCCACGAAAGTATTCCATTGATCGAAAGTACTGATGACAGCCATTATCAAAGAATTCCTCAATGCTTCATTTCAGTAGAGAAGCAAACCAAAAAAGAAGCTTAAAAGGGGGTTTAGAAATCTCTTCTCTGATTCTAATCTAAATTGCTCCTTCTCTGATTCTGCCTCCTCTTTTCTATTTTCTTACTCTCCCAATTCTACTCCTCTGTTATCTTCTATTTCTCAATCCTTGTGTAATAAACCATTGTTGGGCGCGGAAATTGGCGTGGCGCGGCGTGGTCGAGGAAATGTTAGTTCTATATGTTACTTCTATAAACTCCTTTTGTAAGTAACTTCATCATAAATTCATACAATACCAAACTGATCCTAAATCTCTCTCTCTCTCTCTCTCTCTTTCATTACCATTATGTAAGTTCTATATGAAATTAAACTAAAATATTTTACTTGAGTTGTGCTCTAAAGTTACCTTGGTACCGAGAAAGAAAATGCTAGCGTTTCTCATTGCACAACAGCAGCCAGGTTCACTGATCACAAGACACATTCTACAGTATCAGTTCTCTCTATTCCAAGATTTTCACGCATCATATCCTGCAGCAAAGCCAATGCGGCCATGAACATAATTACAGCCCTGAAATTTTTATGGTCGTTACAAAGACAGAATAATTTCCTTCTTAAAAAAAAGGAATGTAGGCTGCAGAAGCCTCTCCCGTTTTCAAAAATATTCCATTTACACGATATTCGCAATTATAAATATCTAATCGCTGTCCCAATTTTCATCAGTATCTTTCTTCTTAGATTTGTCCACCATACTTCTACTCTTACCTCCAGCGCCAAATTCTTCTTCATCGCTGAATTCGCTACCGCTATGGTAATTGTAGTTATCGAGCTTAGGCGCCTTCTGTTGATCTTTCTCATCCTCGGATTCCCACAACCCATCACCCTCTGAACCACCAAATATTTCACTATCAGATTCATCCCTCACTTTATTCAATTTATCCCGATTTTGCCTTTTAAAAGTATCATCCTTGTTCGATTGGGTGCTTGCCAATTGAATGTGAACATCTTCATCTGATTCATCACCAGAATCCTCCTCTGATTCTCCTGAGATATCATCACCACTGTCCCATTTTCTTATATTTGTTGCTCTCTGCTTATTCCCACGGCTACTATGACGGTCCTCTTCAGAGTATTCACTCCTCCAACGAGGATTCCTTCCCCTATTCATTCCTGCATCTTCTTTGTCCCAATACCGAATCTTAGTAACCTCCTCTTTCTCCGCAGCTTCCTCTGCCGCCCATTCTTGATCAGCTGCATCCTCTATCTCTGCAATGAAGCGGTCGAGCTCCTCTTGGTCACTATCCTCAGGAGAAAGATCATCTTGTATTTGGCCATCAAGAGCCCCCTCCTTTGAATCATCTGCAGCTGTTGGTTTTCTGTCACCTCTGAAGACATAAGGAGTCCCTTGTTTCTCATCAATGGCCCTGAAGAATGTAGAAGCTACTCTTTGGATGCTCGCCATGGCGATAGGATCCTCTGGGTTGACTCCCTTGCGGCGGAGCTGCTGTTCTATTTTTTTGATGTTTAGCTTCTGAGAGTCGAGAGCTTGCTCAAATCTTGCTTTGAATAATGCCTGCGTTTCATGATTTTTACGGTTCAAGCAATCACTTGACAATTACTATAAAAAGATTTATGGACTCTACAGAGACCATCCATGATGATTAAAATTGGCTTCAACAGCTTTTACATATATAGATCTACCTATATACATATAATGTGCATGTGCTTGTACTTTGTAGGTGTATAGTTTTTAGGGTTAACTGTGGATAGATCCCCAGACCTACTGTCCAATTGCGGCAGATGGACCCCCTGTTGTTTTATTGTTTGAGATGGACCCGTTGTTCTATTGTAGCCAGTTGGGGACCCCTGACTGGAATTTTTTTTACTCTTTTATCCTCGCAGAAGAACTGTTTTTAGAACAGACCTCCTGAGGCTAAAAGAGTTAAAAAATTCAGTTGGGGGGCGGGGGGGTGTCTACTGCAATAATATAATTCAATTCATGTTGTCTAGCCGCAATAGGGTGGTGGTACAGGGGTTCTATCCTTAACTAATCCTAGTTTATATAAGAAACATGTTTGTACTATTCTAATTGATTTCAAGTCAGGTGGATGCAATCTCTGCCCTACTAGTCATGTTTCTAATGAGAGTGCGATGGATAAGAGCTGCACGCACCTTCCTTTTAGTAAGAGTATTGATAGGTATCAGATTCTTTGGCTGTCGATAGTTCCTTCCACGAAACATAATAATTGTTTTCACATTATGTATATTAACCACAACTCCACCACTTAGTCTAGCAAGCATAGTTGCCATCTCCTTAATTTTCTCTTTTGGGAAGTTATCACAACAAACTTGCACAGTCTCGTGGAATTTCCAATGAAGATGCATGTTTTGGACAACCCCTCCAAAGACTCCACGAACTCCAACAGGGACATAGTTTCTGTTTCTGAAGCCGATTTTCTTGTATGCCTGAAGTTGTTCAGGAGTTAGTAGCTCAGGATCATGTCGAGGTGCTGGAAGCTCTGGCAATTCATATTTTTTAAGTTTTTGAAGAAGCAAAGCCACCTTTTTCTTAGCCTGCATGTGCAAAAAGCAAATGTAAAAATAGAGAGCTAACACTAATAGCGTGGAACATAGCATTACCATTTTATATTAAATAACCTTCGTCACAGCACTAGTTCAGCTTTTTAAAAAAATATATGGTAAGCTAGTTCAGCTTTTTCTGAAGAATGTATAGTAAGCTGGAAGCCAGAGAATTCAAAAAGTGTATGCCACTATACATCCATGACCAAGATTAGAGAAGGGGTTTCAAGAATTTGTCCTTAAAAAGAAAATTCTAAAAGAGAAACAAATTGTCATAAATCTCATCAAGATGACAGTTTGTATACAATGTCAATCGCTTCACAAACCTCAATCTTAGAGGTCATATTTACATTAGTGATGCATTACTTGTTCATGTTTCTACAAAACAAAGTGAGATAGATCAAATTAAGCACAAGTACATAGTACTATCATAATATAATGTGAATTTCACATGAATCGCATATATTACATACTCGCCTTGGATTTCAAGTATAAACTAAGGAAAGGTTAGGAAGAAAAAGTGCCAAGACACAAGTCGTACTAAAGTCACATAATATGGTAGAAAAGTTGATTATATTTGTAATATGATAAAAAAAAAAGGGACATTAAATGTCTAAGTTCACATGATTCTTCTTTCACATTTTTTTTCAATTATCACCCATAACATTGGAAAAGAAAAAGCAGAAACCTAACGATATTTTGTGCATATTATTCTGTCAAGTCATGCCCATTTCGATAGTTTCTTAAATATTCATCTAGGTAATGATATGGATACAACATCCTTCAGTAGCTGGTACCAAAGGCTTAACAGAATAAAGTAAACACTATAATTTTTTGAGGGTTAATTGCGAAAAGGCCCACTGTAGTATTACCCTGTTGCAAATAGACCTCCTGAAGTTCTACTAGTGTGGATAAACCCCTGTACTATTTTCCCAACTGCAGATAGACCCCCTTGGTGAACTTTTCTGACTCCTTTAGGAGTCAAAAAGATCACAATTGGGGGTCTATCTGCTACAACAGTAACCTCGTCAGTCGTCATACCGATCTCTTCCCTCTTGCAAAATAACTCGACGGCCTACGCCGGTTTCTTCGCCTGAATGGACTCCGAAATCATCAGCATAGACGCTCTTTTCCGGCATCTTATCTAATAATTTCTTAGCAATTCCCATTTCCACCCTTCCTACGTAATAATAATAATCTCATGCTCATCTCTACTGTCGAACCACATCAAAACAAAGGCGCACAAATTGAATTGATCTCAGCCGTCCAATCACAAATGGCACCCAGAATCGGTTTAATTAACTAACACAATACGACTCCCATAATTACAAAGCAACCTACCCACCCAACCAAATTTCTCTCCTTTGGGATTTTGCGAAAGTCAAGGTTGAAGAAGAAGCAGTGAGAGAGAGGCAAGGGGAAATTTTCTATCTTTGATCTTTAAATTTTCAAAGCTTAGGATCCCTTATTAATTATGATTATGCATTAGTTTATTATCTTATTCGTACGGTGACTTTGATTTTGAATGTAGATATTTGAGTTGTTTCTGGTGATTAATATCGTTATAATTGGGAACTAGGGTTTATGATTTCACCTACTTGCATGAATTAGGGTTCATCGCATTATATTTCTTTTTTGTTCTTCTACCAGTTCCTTAATAAATAGGAAATCCTAGCAATTCTCCTAATTTTCATTGATATTCTTGAATAAAATAAAATAGTTAAAACAGTTCAAACCTTGGAAGTTTGGTTGATGGAATTAAAACTCCAATCTGTATCAAATCCGCATATTCCGTAGGCAATATGTTTGTTGTCAAACATAATCTTTGATTAAGTTTACTCTCAATCATAAATTTTATGGTCCTCTTTACATTTGCAGTTTGAAATATATTTCTCAATGTCGACCCACCTGCAAAGGAGTGTATGAAACCCTTTTAAGTTGTCTATTAGAACGGTTTAAGAGTACTTGAGTTAGAAAGATGCAAGGTAAGAGATACAGGGGAATATATTCTAGTGCATTAAGATAAGGTATTATGGTCTTGAAGTTGATTGACTGTTAGTTTATCTACATCCAATTGTAGGGTCTCATAAAGCAGCTAGATAGATTTTTAAATTCCACTTTGAAATTTTTGAGTATTTATTGAAGATGACCACCTTCTTATGTGGGTCCCTCCTCTACGGCTCTACGTTAAATATGATAGATAGTTAAGCATACTTGATTGAATGTAAATCGATGATACGTAGTAGAATAGAAAATATGAGAATAAGGGTATTATATTCTGTGTTGTCTTGATAATAAAATTCTAAAGACCTGTAAACTATGAAAAATTCATTGCATTATACAATTTGACAGCTTCCAACCAAGGTTTTAAATATCGGATATCGGGGAAATATCGGATGGCCAAAATTCATATCAGATTGCGGATATCCGACGATGAACGTCACTACCCAACCCACAGGAGTCCAATCGACGTCGATGAACGACTGAAGTGAATCGACAAGCTACGTGAGCAGACAGGATTTCGGAACAACGAAGACTCGGACCAATCGGAAACCCGGCAATGTTCATAAAAAGGACAACACCCTCCGTGCCTCAACCACTCTACAGATAATCTAACCACCGAAACGGATCGAACTCCTCGTCAAGCATCCAACGCACCCAGAATCACTCAAATCCGAGTTCGGACGAAGAGTTTACAGGGAAAACAACCGAATCACCTCAAACGGAGTAAGGTTTTAAATATCGGATATCGGGGAAATATCGGATGGCCAAAATTCATATCAGATTGCGGATATCGGGGAAATATCGGGGATATATGATAAATATCAGAATGCCATAATGAATGTTTGCATACATAGTATAATGCATTAAAATGCAATCTCAACATATGTAATGAAATTTAAGCATACAAAATATGAATAATATATGTTTAGGATCACTAATCAACCTTCTAAAACAAACAAAAGTGCAAAGCAACGTTGCAACATTCGATCTACTTTTTTAGGACAAAATGTCATTTGATAATGGGGAAATCTTGATATCTTGCCAAAAAATTCCAAACACGATATATTATTTTGCAACAAGCTATATAAAAAGATATATTGGTCCACATATCGGCTAATATGTCGGCCATATTGGGGATTTATCACTCAAAATAGCCAAAAAGTGGTAAAGGATATTTAAAGACCATATCGGTTGCGGCAAGCCCTGTAAAAGGATATATCGGGGGATATATCGGGCCATGTCGGGGATATTTAAAACAATGCTTCCAACTTAATTTAGTATGAATTTTAGCTGTGTGAGTTTATTGTATGCCTTAGCTTTTGTCACGTGCACTGATATTGATATATTAGCTGCACTCATGAATTTATGCAGCAAACATTGAAATCATGAATTTATGCAGCAAACATCGAGTACTTCAAAAGTGTAACGTACGATTTTTTTTTGTTAACCTTACAGCAAAATTTTCTATTATGAACCCAACCCAAAAAAACTAAAAGAGAGAAAAGGTACAGGTTGGGTGTTTTCATATGAAAGTTACATAGAAGATGATAAAAACGCACGATATGGGGAAATGACTATATATATAATATATAAATTAATGATTCACATGAGATCAATTATCTATATTGTTTTTCTAGTCACATGCATTGAGAATTTAAATTCCTGGTTTTTGTGCCTCTTTCATTATCTAGATTATAAATTGGAAAGCCACTCATTTTTTGAATTGGATATGTAAACAACTCTTTCAAATCGTAGTTATTAACCGGTTTGGGTTGAATAAACCGGACGCTCCTCCAAAAAATCTAAGTGGGTGTGAAGTGTATGATATATGTTTTGAAAGCCTATTACATGTGTTTTAAATTAAAACACGTATTGTATTATATAGTTAGACACATTTGAATGTATGTATGCATATATTACCAAGGAGTGTCCGGGAAGTGTTAGGTATGGGTACATGAAGTGCCAGCTATGGGTACCGCTGCATGATAGAAGTGCCAATGCAACGTAGGTGAGTGCTAACCCCTTTTTGATATAGTTTGCAACAGTCTGGTTAGGAGTCATCATATCACATTCATATTATCACATTAAATACTTTTTGAAGTGTTTGGACTGTCGACGCCTACCTCAATTATTCTTTGTGAATGATGTCAGGAAACAAGAAATTTTAGGGTTGCTATATAAATGTGCACCAGAAAAGCTGCATAAGCATTCAAATTAGGGCGGGTTAAATATGAACCATAGTCTATCCTTTTGTATGCTCTCCAATTAATTGTGCCACCTTAAGATTGTGATGTTGATCATCTTAGTCTTGTTAAGCTAGTTTAGCTTTTTCTGAAAAATGTATTGTAAGCTGGAAGCCAGAGAATTCAAAAAGTGCATGCCACTATACATCCATGAGGTACCAAGATTAGAGTCAAGCATTTTTCCTTAAAAAGAAAATTCTAAAAGAGAACAAATTGTCATAAAGCTTATCAAGATGACAGTTAGTATACAATATCAATTGCTTCACAAACCTCATCTCATAGGTCATATTTACATTAGTGATGCATTACTTGTTCATGTTTCTACAAAAAAGGTGAGATAGATCAAATTAAGCACAAGTACATAGTACTATCATAATGTAATGTGAATTTCACATGAGTCGCATCTATTATATATGCGCCTTGGATTTCAAGTATAAACTCGCAATGGAAAGGTTAGGAAGAAAAAGTGACAAGACACAAGTCTTACTAAAGTCAAATAATATGGTAGAAAAGTTGATCATATTTGTAATATGATCACAAAAATAGGACAATTAAACATCCGAGTCCACATGATTCTTTTTTCACCTTTTTTTCAATTATCACCCATAACATCGGAAAAGAAGAAGCAGAAACCTAATGATAATTTGTGCATATTGTTCTGTTAGGTCATGCACATTTCGATAGTTTCTTAAATATTCGTCTAGGTAATGATATGGATACAACATCCTTCAGTAGCTAGTACCAAAGGCTGAAAAGAATAAAGTAAAGAAAAAACTTTTTAAGGGTTAATTGCTGACAGGCCCACTGTAGTATTACTCAGTTGCAAATAGACCTCTTGAAGTTCTACTGGTGTGAATAAACCCCTGTACTATATTCCCAACTGCAAACAGACCTCATTGGTGAACTTTTTCGACTCCTTTAGGAGTCAAAAAGATCAACAATTGGGGGTCTATCTACACCAACAGAGCTACGGGTGGTCTATCTGCCTCTATGAACTTTCTTTTCACACTCTTAGACTAAAAAGATTCGCTTTGGGGATCTGTCTGCATAATTAGAATTATAGGGGGTCTATCCACAATTAGGTGATACTATAGGGGTTCTATTCACAATTAACCCTTTATTATATTACTATCCAAAGATCAAGGAAGTACCTAATAGTTCTCCTTATTCAGGAGCTTTAATGGTTGAAATTTCACTCAAAGTTCAGTGTATGACATATACAAAGTGTTCTGTACATCATAATAGTGACTAAAAAAGTAATAAGCATGCATCAATTCAATGGAGAACCCTTAAATGACTAGTGTATAAGTCATATTATGGACGAAAAACATGCTTTATTTTGAAGTCAACTTTGCATTTTGCATAAGGATTAGAAAATTTCGATAATCCTAACAAAGAATAAATACATTAACATGAAAATAGCAAACGAGTGTAACATAACACAGATTACTTAAGATACTATAACTATTATATTACTTCTACCTTATGGAAAGTCAAAATAGCAATAAATTTAATAGTGTAACCAAATGTGACAGGTATCTGGCAACTCAAGGACTTTCAATTAAAGCGATGCGTCAACTAATTAAGAGGTCTACAGGGCACGGAATGCATCTTTTCTGAATTTTTAACAAAATGAAGCGACATTTTTCTTTCAATTAATACACATTATATAGAAGATCATCATCGTCATCCAAAATACATATAGAAAATGAGAAAAACAAGAACTTACTCTTCTTAGGTTATATATCAACCTCTCTTCTTCAGTCATCAACTTCTTCCTCAACTTCTTCGCGCGCCTAACCTCCCTCATAGTTTTCCCTGTTTCCCTCCGCATTCTCTTCTCCACTTTGCTCCGCATACTTCTCCCTCTGATCGTCGACATCATCCGAATCCCACTAACCGAGCCAAACAAAGGCACTTCATAAGATCTAATTCCACTACCATAATCCGAAATAATCGGATTCCTACCCTCCAACTGCAAAGGCACCTCCTTCCTCAAAAAACCCCTGGAGCGGTCATCAGAAAATCAATTAAAAATGTCTTTTTATACAACAATGAATTAAAATCAAACTAACCTATCATAAAGAGGCAAAATCTTCAAAAATTGCCTCTGAAATCTCCTAGCTGCCCACATTTGGACAACCTTATAATCAGAATGAAGCTATACAGAAGCTCATGATGAAGGATTCCAGTGGAAACTGCATCAAAAAGAGGTGCAATTTTGAATTAATTAACATGTTTTAGTCCAAACCCACCCCATAAAATGATGTCAATCTGTGAATCCTTTTAAGTTGGAAATCTCAAATACAAGAGGTAAACAATAAAAAATAACCACACTAAAGGCATAAACTCATGAAAGAAATGAAATAAATTAAAAAAAAAGGGTAAATAAAGCCAGAGTCTATACCTCAAAAAGCTTATGGAGTTTGGCTTGGGATTTTAACAGAAGAGGAGGAAGAAGAAAAGGAAAGAGTGGGAATTAGGTTCTCAATATCGGTACTAATTGGGCTGAGTCTCATTGCGATTTTGATGAATAAGATTATACTCGTATTGTTTGATGATCCAAACCTAGCCCACCTATAATAAACGTAATTCACAAAACCCCCTAATGTGAGTTGTAAAATACACCCTAAACTTTGAAAACTATACTAAACCCATGAATTTTAGGCAGTTACACATAATGCCCCTGACTTTCGAAAATGTTCCACGAGTATTGAAATTTTGATTTTAGTGGGTGGTTTCTGGTGTTGTTGATTGAATGTTAGTGGGTTTTGGTTTCTGTGTAATTTCTGCGATTATGAGATGTAGGTTGTTGTAAAAATTCAATTTTGGGATTTGATTGGATGCCTATCAGGTGTTTGATTGTTTTGCTTTTGAGAGTTGTTATCCTGATACTTTTGGATTTTGATTTTTTCCCCTTAAATATTTGTTGTTTGTTCACAATGGAATCAATGTGTAGGATGTGTGTTAGAGAAAAAATGATGGAATTCATCTGAATTTTTGGATGAAATGCAAAAAGAGCTCCATACTACTCTTGGCACTTCAAAATGACAGGTGATAAATGAGAATTTCTTCTATATATTTAGATTATTATGGTTATGTTTTAGTTTCAGTGATTAATTTCAGTTATGGTGATTGGTTTTGATTGCAGTTAAGAGGATTTTGAGAGGGAAGTTAGTTTAAGCCATGAGAAATATCCTTCTGGGGAGAACACAATCACGAGGCATATAGAGAATTCATAGCTGCAATACGAAAAAGAATATCTCTTATAGAGAATGAAATCAATGATTCACTTCTTCAAGAAGGAAAACAACCAGTTCGATGGATTCAATTAGACGAGAAAGAAAGAGATATTTTGAAAATTTTCTTTCCATATCTCCACGGAACTTACATGGGAAAGAGGGGGGAAATTCCAACCATGAATCTGCTCAAGGTTTTAAGGAAACCGTGACAATCAGTAAGGATAAGTAGTTAGTGGAAGTTTCAGCAAAACAACATCTTGGCAACAGAGATGGAAGTGCTGGAGCAAGAAGATTTTTTTCTTTTAATTTTCACCATATGGGTTTTGTTAGACTAGGAGTTTTGGAGATGAATTTTTAATTGAAAATCATTCTTCTCCATTTCAAAGAGGGAGTTCAAGAAAAACTTTCAATGGTCCATAATATCCCTTACCCAAACACTTAATTACTAGACACTCGTCTCTCAGACTTTCCTTAGTTAAAATTGTTAATTTGATGGCATACTTCATTTCCTTGTTTATTTTTTATAAATATTTTTTTCCTTATTACCTAATGTCAAATTTATCTTCCAAACACATATTTTTCATCTCTGTCAATTCAAGGATTAGTTTCTCTCGCCAATATGCTATCATCAGCCTTCGAAAGCTCCAAAGTCCATCAAGCAAATTTGGTAGTGAGATATTCCCTACTTGTATGAATTTGTCATTTGAGAGGCGCTACTTATAGCAAAGATTTTTTTTATTTTCACTATATAGGTTTTGTTAGACTAGGAGTTTTGGATATGAATTTTTAATTGAAAAGTTTTTATTTGATGGATGTCATAATTTTGCTTCTAATTATTTTTCGTGATCTCACTTTCAGTTATTTAGGTTTTCTTCTATCTTTTAATTTTCGTTGTTGATTTGAAGAATCATCGAGGGGCAATGATGGACAAGGGTGTCCAACTGCACAAGCCAAAGCCAGGCAAATCCATACAAAAGAACACGAGTGATCATCTTTGGGAACAATGATCTTGAGAAGGTAATCATGGATCTCCTATCTCGCTTGGCTTTAGTTTTTATTTTTATTTATTATTATTATTTTATTTTTTTTACTTTGGTTCGATAACACAATTTAGCGTTGAAGTCATTTTTAAGTTCTAATTACTAGCTATTTGAAATACAAACCTCGGTTTGATGCTACTAAAAAGAAAATAGACTTTCTAATGTGAGTACAACCCTTTGAAAATGTGAGTTTTTTTTACTCTTTTTGTTTGGTATTCATCTTCTTGCTTTTGATTTTTAGGTCGAAATGTTTTTCCTACAGTTTACTATTAGTCTCACATATAAGTTATTGTTTGTTCCTAACCTTTTTTCCTATTTCTGATTTAATTTTCTCAATGTTTACTATTATCATCATAGGTTTCATTCTTTTGAATTTGCCTACATATTTGGTAATTTTTATTTTCAAAAATAAATTGATTGTATTTTCTACTTTTAGGATGACAAGCCATCTAACGATGAACAATACTAGGTCCTATATAATGCAAATCAAGGGCCAAACAATTAACTAGAAATGGATTTGCTGCTTCACTTAGAAGCGTGTATATAATATGACTATAGATGCAAGGCTATCTTGAATTTCGTATGTAATTATTAATATTCTTCATTGTGATGTTCGGACCTCTGGTGATGATATAACTCAAAAATTTCTAGCCTTATGTTTTAAAGTTTGTACAAATTTGGATTCATATAATTAATACTTACATTTGTTTGAGCTAAAGCTGCCAAAATGTGATTATCAAATGCGTTAAAATATTCACTCGATTTCAGAGAAACATATACACAAGTTAGTCATTTTAAGTTTTAATTGCTAAGAATTTGATGTGTAAACCTACCTAGGTTCTTATGCTATTGTAGGAGAATTTGTTAACATGAGTTCAGCCTTTTCACTTGATTGAAATTCTTGATCGATGCTTCGTTCTACAACTGATTTTCTCTTTTTATCACAAGTGCTCAAAAGGTGAGTTTTTTTTTCTACTCTTATCATTACTTTTCTGCTTCATGTTTAAAATTTAGTTAGAATTTCTTCTTTATGGTTTAGTTGTTGACTAGCATTGGTTTCTTAATCCAGAGTTTCTCATTATTTGTTATTAATCTTCTTTATTACATTCCTTGATCTAATTTAATTAGCAAATGTGTTTTACGTTGCGGATCACTGTTGAATTTTTTTGAATGAGGTTCAAGAAATAAGATCCAGAAGTTGTAGGTTTTTTAGCATGTTCTATAACGCTACATGCATGCATCATGTAGTTTATGTTGCCAATGTTCAATGTTTTCATGTTCATATTAACTCCTTAAATACGTTCTAGCATCCTATATTTTACTGCTCTTAAAACTCTGCAAAGAAATATAAACATATAAAATGCGCAATTGTTATAGGGAGAAATTAAGCTATGAACTTGCCTGTGATATAATTATAAGTCTTTTTCAAGATTAAAAATAATATTTGATATGGCTCAAAGAAACTTAAAGCATACAGGAACAAGGAGGAGAATGATTGTTTGTTTTAGAGACGTGTTTGAGATCTACAACTAATGTTTTTATGTTGTTTTATCAAAGATATATGCATAGGCTGAGTGATGGGGGGATCCAGGGATGTAGTGAATAATATTAGAAGGTTTATGAAGCATCAAGAAGTCAGAACAATGCCTGGTGGGAGTACGATTTCAGTCAATTGAGAGATAGAACAGTTGTTGCTAGTCAAATCGATCGTCCAAAACTGAAAGAAATTTGCAAGAAATGGAACGAATTGGTGAAGAAAATGAGAGCAAATGGGTATGTGTCGGATACTTCTGTTGTGATGCTGGATATGAAGGATGGGGGAGGGGAAAAAAAGGAGGTTTTACTTCCACACGGTGAGAAGCTGCCTTTGACTTATGGATTGATGAATACTTCACCAAAATCAGTAGGATCATGAAGAATCTGAGGGTTTGTAGTGATTGCCATAAAGCTTCCAAGTTGATATCAGAGATTGTAAGGAGGCTGATTTTATTGCTTTAGGAATGGGTTATGCTCTTGTAAAGATCACCGGTAACTTCATAAGGGCCTAAAATCTGTAGAAGACTAGTCTTAAGATGAATGCAATCACCGGTAACTTCATAAGGGCCTAAAATCTGTAAAAGACTAGTCTTAAGATGAATACAATCGCACTCATATGTGAAATACATTCTTTCTGGGTTTTTTCCGTTATCTCATACATACATATCTTCTATTAATTTACCAATTTAAATCAAGTTCAATCATCAATCATCAATGATGAATTTGATTAGTGAATGTTCAACCAATTCTCTGTTTTCTAACCTTTATTCTACACTAGCAATTTTACCCCACACATCAATTTATATTCAAATCAAGAGTATGATGAATGCTTAGTATTTACTTTCCCTGCACTCTCAGAGGCCTGGCATCTGCATTTGAGCATTTTGTTCCTAAATTATTAACCGATGTCATCACTAATATTACATATTATTTGTCAATGTATACATTTATGCATGGATACACAATCACATGCACCATAAGGGGGTCACGAATAAGAGCCAACTTAGTTTTGTTATATAAATGAAAGCTTGTATTAGATAATCTGGCAATAGTAGCTCTCATTGAATGATGTTTAAATTAACAGTTTTTCCTTCATCCTTTTTGACTCAACCTCCCACTCAGTCTCCCAAAACTTACAAATTCCCACAGCAAAAACAATGCCAATCTTCATTGACCGCAAACTCCTCCACAATGTTATAGGAGAAGCTAGGCGGACTAGGCGTTCAAGCCGGGGCCTAGCACCCTATTTTAAATTTATTTAATTATAATAATTCACAAAAATATGCATTAAGTTCATATAAAATTGCAAAAAAACATAAAATAACAAGCTTAGATGAACGTAGATTAACTAAACTGAAGTTGAACAGTGAATAAATTTGAACTAAAATTGAACAGAATTAAACTAAAATTAGAAACAGCGGATAAAATTGAACAAGATTAACTAATTAACTAAATTAAACTAATTAATTAAACTAAATCAAGCAATATTAACTATTTACTAAATTGAACAGTGAAAAAGGATGATAACGTTACCTGGCTTCAAAAGAGAAGAGGCAGGAGAATCGGGATCACTGGCGGCTG